CTCAGTCAAAGTATAGCTCGAACTGCTTCTAAATCTAGAAAAAATGCTTTAAAATAGTGTGAAAGAACAGCCTTGACTCTTAATTTTACGGCACAAGAGCCGAGTTTGTGCTCCGCTCGTATTTAGCACCAAACATGGTATTATTGAAATGTTGAGATCTCAGTCAAAGTATAGCTCGAACTGCTTCTAAATCTAGAAAAAAAGCTTTCAAATAGTGTGAAAGAGCAAGATTAACTATTAATTTTACGGCACAATAGCCGAGTTTGTGCTCCGCTCGTATTTAGCACCAAACATGGTATTATTGAAATGTTGAGATCTCAGTCAAAGTATAGCTCGAACTGCTTCTAAATCTAGAAAAAAAGCTTTAAAATAGTGTGAAAGAGCAGCCTTGACTCTTAATTTTACGGCACAAGAGCCGAGTTTGTGCTCCGCTCGTATTTAGCACCAAACATGGTATTATTGAAATGTTGAGATCTCAGTCAAAGTATAGCTCGAACTGCTTCTAAATCTAGAAAAAAAGCTTTAAAATAGTGTGAAAGAGCAGCCTTGACTCTTAAATTTACGGCACAATTGAAAGTTTTTAGCTCCGCTCATATTAAGCACCAAACACGGTATTATTGAAATGTTGAGATCTCAGTCAAAGTATAGCTCGAACTGCTTCTAAATCTAGAAAAAAGCTTTAAAATAGTGTGAAAGAGCAGCCTTGACTCTTAATTTTACGGCACAATTGAAAGTTTTTAGCTCCGCTCGTATTAAGCACCAAACATGGTATTATTGAAATGTTGAGATCTCAGTCAAAGTATAGCTCGAACTGCTTCTAAATCTAGAAAAAAAGCTTTAAAATAGTGTGAAAGAGCAGCCTTGACTCTTAATTTTACGGCACAATAGCCGAGTTTGTGCTCCGCTCGTATTTAGCACCAAACATGGTATTATTGAAATGTTGAGATCTCAGTCAAAGTATAGCTCGAACTGCTTCTAAATCTAGAAAAAAAGCTTTAAAATAGTTTGAAAGAGCAGCCTTGACTCTTAATTTTACGGCACAATTGACAGTTTTTAGCTCTGCTCGTATTAAGCACCAAACATGGTATTATTGAAATGTTGAGATCTCAGTCAAAGTATAGCTCGTACTGCTTTAAAATCTAAAAAAAAAGCTTTAAAATAGTGTGAAAGAGCAGCCTTAACTCTTAATTTTACGGCACAAGAGCCAAGTTTGTGCTCCGCTCGTATTTAGCACCAAACATGGTATTATTGAAATGTTGAGATCTCAGTCAAAGTATAGCTCGAACTGCGTCTAAATCTAGAAAAAAAGCTTTCAAATAGTGTGAAAGAGCAGCCTTAACTCTTAATTTTACGGCACAATAGCCGAGTTTGTGCTCCGCTTTTATTTAGCACCAAACATGGTATTATTGAAATGACTGGAGTCCCGTCAAACAACTTGCGACGGTCTTGACTGAAAAAAAAAATGTTTTTTAGCGACCATCTAAAAATTTCGGACAGACCATTTGGATCATTTCTAGTCAAAATTTTTTGGAAAAAATTTTTTTTGCCTTCCTGCCTTAATTAGCAAATTTTCAAAATCGACTAAAAACAGACTATTTTTGCTCGAAAATCGACTAAAATCGACTTAATTTAGGCCGAAAGTCGACTATTTTGACCTTAAAAATAGACTAAAACGCTCAGCCCTAATAATCGTGGATTCAGAAACTGAGCGAGAAAACCAACGCTTGGAGCACAAAGTGAAATGTCCTAATTTCAACTTTTAATTAGAAATCTTGATTCTATCAAAACATTAAATTTTCTGGTTTCAAAAATTCAATTTTTCATTCTTTTCTGAGCATTTTTTTCTCGCTCAGTTTCTGAAATCACGTTAAATTTCTCTCATTGTGTTTGCATTGAAATTCAGCTTTTCCTAGATGATTTGTTTTTAATTCTTCATCGTTTCAAATGTTATAGTTTTTGTTTACCATAAAACAATTATCAACTAAAAAACCACCAAAGCTGAATTTCTAATCTAACGAATCAACTCTCTCAAAATTCTTTTAAAAATCGCTGTCGTAGAAAAAAATTTCGCAAAAGCTGGAAAATACCTATTTCTATGTTGGTATAGAGACGGCGCATCAAGTTTTCCTTTGAAAACTCGTCATTTGTGGAACAGACAAAAGAAAAATTGCTGGCGTTCATTGCAATTTTTGCATTCATGCTTTTTGATCAAAAGCGCTAAAAGCACCGGTGGACTGTGCAAATTACACACGCGGCGCCGGCCTTTTGAGCAAATGAGATAATTGCGCACGACCAGCGTGTGCGGTTTAATGCACGAGCGCAATTATGATAAGCACGTCGACTCTTTGACCAAAAAGCAGTGAAAAATGGTAACACTCTCATTTTTCAACGTCGCTCCATTTTGTCATTTTATTCTTTGCGCGCGGCGCGCATACTGAATATAATTACTTAGCGAGTGACGCGCGTGAGGCAGCCATTAGAAAAATATGTATTTTTCTCTCTAGATGAATGTGCACCCATTCAAAAACGTAGTCTTTCAGTCGATCCGCAACTAGGTTAATGATCAACGCTGGAAATAAAAGAGTGGCGCAGTCGAGCGAGAATAGAGAAGAAGTAGGAATTCATGATTTCTGCTGGGGTAAATGAACAGAGTGTTTCACATTTTCAAGCTTTTTGTTTGTAAAAAGGTTGATTTAAAACATCTACCTATTGGAATATTTAAAAGAAATAAAATATATTTTGTAATTAATTTATTATTTAAAAAAAAACAATATCAAAAGTTCCATTAATTGAATGAAAATAAAACATTATTTTCTTTAAATAATAAAAATGTAATACTTTTCAATATTAATGAAAACATTTTTCTAATTTTTCTATAAAATTACGAAAAATATCAGGAATAGCTTTAAAATTGTAAATTAATAAAATATATTTTTGAGTAAAAATTTAGAGATTTTCAGGTGATGCAGAAATTTGTCTTTATTTTCAAAAGAAATTTTATTCGTCAGGGGAGGTTAAAATAAGCCTGTTCATTTTCTTCGGAAATTTTAAAAATTTCGTGCAGCTATAAGAAAAAAATTATTTCTTATTTAAATTTTCACAAGCAAGTTTGATGAAAAGACTATGGGGAGCCGTTTCGCTTTTAAAATCCTCTGTCAAGGACAAACAAAATTAATAAATAATTCCATCACGACAGCAGAACAAGAGGCTGGAGGCGTTGAAAATTCATTAGGGCAGAAGGGCTGAGAAGAGAGTTCTTTTTCCTCAGCTTTGGGTGATAAGGAAACATCAAGAGAGGTTTCTGATTTCTGTCAACGCCACGTTAAATTCTAAACTTTCATCCGCTCATCTCTTGCAAAATGTCACGTGCTTGACAAATATAAAAAAAGTATTAAACGAGCGTTTTTTAATTCATCATTCACCTCCCGGCTTATTTTTTTGGAAAATAAAAATAGGTTGAATTATTAAATTAATTAATCGGTCGATACAAAATGTTGTTAAAAATTGGAAAAGAGAAGAAAGGGTTTACAACTAGCATATACATGTCATCATTATGAACCGAGATTGGAGATTATATCTCTCCTGCGGGCAAGAGATGCGAAACTTAATTTTCATTATATTATATTATTTACACTGCGACCTCCGCACACAGAGTCCCCTAAAGACTACTTTGAAATGATCGCCGATATTAGTTGTTGGTGCAAGAAATCGGAGCGAGGGTTTCGGGCGAGAGAGCAATTAATTTGGAGTTGCGAGTTGCGCCCCCGCTGCCGACACGGTTAATTCGCTCGGGGACAAAGGCGATGATAAACGGCGGCGCGAGGGAGGCAGCAGATTATTATTTGTTCGCAATAAGAGCGGGAAAAAAGCATATAGTGCGGAATTAAGGCAAAGCTGCTGCCGCCGGCTGGTGTAATCCAGTGCGCGCCATTAGTTTGCGGCGTCCATTAGTCCTTCCTCGGCTAAACAATGAAACTCTGCCGGCGGCACTTTGCATTCGGCGCTAAAGTGGCCGCCGCAGTCTTGTGTGTGTGTGTGTGTTTTTGGGTTGTAGGCGAGACCAGTGTGCGAATACTTTATAAATTCCGTCATGAGATGTTTCACATCCGTCTGGACACGACAAACAAGTTCGTGTTTAAACCCTCTTTTGCTGGATATGAAAATAGCACGTTTTTAGCAATTCATTTTTAACAGGACCAATTTTTAGTGTTTTTTTTTTGCGCAATGTATAAAATTTTACAAATCACTGATATTGTTTTGAGAGAGAAAACGACGAACAAAGATGATTTCATCTCTAGTTTTTACAAGAAAAACAAACAAATGTAGATAGATTTTGATAAAAATGATTTGAATCTTAACAAATGAGCCTATCAAAGCTTATAATATCTACACTTAAAAGCAATCAAACTTTCCCAATAAAGATCAATGTAAATTTTTTATGTCGACCTTTAGATTTTATTTTTCCATCTTAATTGGGGTGATATGAATGTTATTTAGTGAAATTTTTATCAATTTTGGTCAGGTCAATTTTAACAATAAGGAAAAAATTATTTCATAAAATTCACATAGAAAACGATTTTAAATTAAAAATTCAGTTCTCTCAATGACTTATATTTTACTCACTATGTTTCATAGAAATTGGAAGAAATCCCATTAAAATTAAACGGGCTATTTTTTCCTGATTATCAAAAAAATTTCAATTATAAATTGCGTAACAAGTAAGCAATGCCCTTTTTATGATATAAATTGGATTTAATGATTAAATGTTTTCTTTGCTTTCTTTGATCCAAATATTTCAATTTTACTGGCTTTTAGTTCAAGTCGTTCACTTTTGATAAAACTAATAATTACTCGGAAAGTTTTTTCCAGTCAGTACGCTTGTTTTATTTTGGAACAATGTTCGTAAATTAAAATGATGAATAATAACATCAGTTTTATCCTTCATCAAAATGGCCACTTTACCAAGCTATGGTAAAGGACAATAAATGTCCTGGAAATGACTGTTTTGACATGCCACTTCATCGGCGGAGCACTTTGCGAGAAACACGAAAATGGAGATAGCAACTCTTTATTTTGATAGCCGGAAGCACGCCATCTATTCATTAGATCGTATCCGCCGAAATAAAATATTATTTTTTTTTTATAGCGGTCCGAAAAAGGGCAGAGAAATCATTTTTCCGCTTTCCGGAGAGAAAGAGAATAAAAAAAATGGCACAAAGGGACGTCTCGGCAAACGTCTGCGGCGAGCAAAGAAAGGGAAAGCATGAGGAAAATCAACTTTGATGGTCTTTTTTGGGAGAAAAAGCGAGTCAGGAAAATGGAGTGAAAACGACTCGAGACAGCTTTGCGAAAAGGGCGAGTTACCTTGATGCCGTAGTTGGACTCTTCGTAGAGGATGGAGATGTACTTCCAGCCCATGCGACCCACGATATCGACCATGGCCTTCACTTGGTAATGATCGCTCGGGATCGTGCGCGTGAAGTACTCGAAGCGCTGCTTGTTGCTCAGCTCGGGGCTTGTTGAGAAAAACGACACCTGCAACCACAGAAAAAGCGACACTTACTTCAATTTTTCGGGCAATTATTAAGCATTTTGTGACCAAAAAACAACAATACAAGTTATTTAATTATAAGAAAATTAGATCTCAGATATTTATTTATTTTTTTTTTTTACATTTTTATTAAATGTTTCGAACTTATAACTGTCAAGAAATTTTGTAATTTTAATTAAAAATAATATTTTAAATTCTCTCCTAGAGCTTGAATGTGAAAGGTGTTATGGATTTTGGCAACCTCAATTAAACAGAGGGCTTGATTATCAACAAGGTAGGCGTTCTTTCGCGATTCATATCCTGAGACGTCACGTCACTGAGCAGACCGAGCTCTTTTGTGGGCGCCTCATTTTTACAAATAAAATACACACGCCCACGCGAATTAGAAAATCACAGTTTTATCCTGTGTCTGAATTAAAATTAACATCTGAGACTCACCAACAAACACGGCGCGATTTGGTGAATGATTCAAAACCCTCTGTCAGCTTTATTTCGTTGAACTATCAAAAGTGGTCAGCTGGTCACGCGAAAAGCACTGACAAGAGCGCCACCGGTGGCACATCGTGGAACTTCTGATAACAGCACGCCACGGCTCGTGCTTTTAAGCTCGTCAGCAAAACCAATGAAACGGAGGAAATTGACCAACTCGTGACTTCGCCGCCCTCGCGCCCTTCCTTCAGGTAACTAAAATTGGCCACTTTTCATTCAAAACAGTTGAAATTTCAACCATTAATTTTCACCTCAAGCGAACCTTCCATTTCAGTTTAACTTTTTATCTTTTGATAAAAGTGCGCGAAAATATTTGGTCTCTGATTTTGCTTGGAAAACGTTCATCAAAGAGATTGGATCAAATCGTCGCCGTGCAATGTTACTTCACTGATAATCAAGGCTTAAATTAAGAAGAAGAATAATTTATTTGTTTACTAAAATTATATTTATATCACTTCCGAATTATAAACTTCCTTAATTTTGTTTTTGCTAATTTTGCATTTTTTTATTAACAGTACTGTAAGTTATTTCAACAGATTCAATTTTCGCAATCTTCTATAGAGGTGCAAACTTGTTAGACGGGGAAAGTTGAGAAATTTCTAGATCGATATTATTTTACCTTTAGTCATGAAATTGTGTCTTTTTCACATTTAGCGATAAAAAATTTTTCCGGTATCCCTTTTTAACTTCCTTCGCCTCAGCAGAATTCAATTTTAACCATTTTTTGCATGCTTTTGCTTTTATAAGGAATAGTGGTTTTTTATGGTTTTCACTCGGGTCATTTCATGTTGATGTGAAAGGGCGATATTTTCGTCACATTGTTGAGAACGCAGGTTTCTCTTCTCCAAACGCTTTTCGCAATCTCGTTGCGGAAGGATCGCTGCGAAAATGGGCAGTGAAAAGCTTGTGTGGGGGCGTGTGTTGGTATTCATAATTTATTCGGCAATATAGGAAAAGCGCTCGCTCAGCCAAACCCCTTGTCAGCAGCAGCAGCACCACTTTTGCCTCCTTCGGACCTCTGTCTGTCGTCGGCGCGCGTGTCAAACGCAAAAGTACATCCGAACGAACGAAGAACGATCGCTTTGTGCCCTGGGCGTTCTTATAAAGTATGACTGCGCCACAAGTTTTCCATTCTGTCTCTCAATAAGATTGACTTTTTCTCAATTTTTTGCTCAATCTTTTCCTGATACCTCAATTTTTTAATTAATTTCAAAGAATACGTAATTAAAAGAAACAATTTAAACTTCATTTTTTTTTATAGCGTTAATTTAGTATATGGATCTCTTTTAGTTCAAGCTAAATGTAACCATTTAGCCGAGAGAAGTTTTTCCTCATAAATTAATTGATTTAGCTTCCAGGATTCAGGATTAAAATGAAAAATGTTGAATGAAGTTTTACTATATAAAATTACAATTATTATTGTTGTTTATTCCACTCAAGTCATACATGAAAAAAATTGAATTGGAAAAAAAATGAGTACAAATTACAATGTAAAAATATACGAATATTATAAATAATAAATAAAAATATTCAAATTAAATAATCTTTAAATTTAATCTGCAGTGATCTGAGGTAGCTTCATAAATTAAATTATTAAATTTATTTTCAATATTAATAAAATTTTTGCTAGTGATGATGCCTTTTTGTCCAACAATCTCTTTTTCTTAAATAATTGTTTTTCAAAAATTGAATGTAAACAATGTATTTGTAACAATGTGGACAAATAAACAACAATAATAATAATAATTAAAAAAATTAAAAATAAAATTTAATACAACTAAAATAAATTTATATCTCATAACGAAGACTTACTTAAACTGCAAGAAAAAATATTTCATGAACCAAAACGCAGATTTTGATATTGACTGAAAATATTACAATAGCGTTCGTCTTCCTCAAATTATTCTATACATTGTTGTTCATGTGTGCATCAACAAACGTTACAAGCTCATCATTAACTAATGGTAATGGCGTCGCTGTTGTTAAGAGTTGATTTTGCCTCGCAAATGAGCAACGGCTCTTTGTTTCGCAAACGGTGGATGCAAAATTAGAGCGTAAATGCCGTAATCCCAATTTTCAATCAAACATCACTTCTCTCGGAAAAAGAACTGAACGCCCACGACAAATAAAGAGGAAAAACGATTCATACTAAAAGCACAAACATAATAATCCGGCCGATCCCACGCGATTTTATTTTTTTATTTGGAGATTTAAAATCAAAATTATTCTTCCTCGTCACACTTTTATTGGTTTCCTGCTTCCAGGAAATGCGAAAATTTAAGGCTATAGAAATTGTATTTTTGGAACTTTTACACGATTTATACAAATTTTTCCGCTTTACTGGCAAAGTGGTAAAAACGAACCGTAAAAGTCAACTTTATCGCCACCAAAAGTAGCTTTTTATTGTGACTCCGCCTGTGAAAAATCTCACTCAAATGCTGTATCAATTTTATGATCACTCACAAGCAGACTGTTGTAAATTTTATTTCAAGCCTTTCAATTTTCATTATGGGAATATTCCACAATTATTTTGTGAAAAACTGTAAAGGATGAAATTATACATATTTGAAGTAAAAAGTAGCTATTTGATTTGTTTCATGAGTATTTAGAATTTTCGTAAAAAAAATATCGTTCTCAATTATAATAAATGACATAAGAACACTTTGAGGAAAAGCTAATATTAAATTCAAACCCACAATCGTGACATTTTTATTTAAAAAAATTTGTAAAAAAAATTCTTTAAATTTAATTTCAAATTTTCCTCTGTTAATTACTTATGCAATTTTATAAAATTGTATGATACATCACATTAAAATTTCAAATTTAAATAAATAATAAATAACATAATAATGTTTATTAAATTATATTTAAAAAGAAATAGATAATACTAATTAATATTAAACTTGATAATTGAAAGCTAAATAAAAAGTGCAAAGCGAGGCGTGCTGAAAACCTGGCGAAGCATTTATGCATGGGCACGTGGCACCGCGTGCTGCCCTTTTTCATTTGCCAATGGGGCGTTTTTCCGCCAATTTTCTCTGCCATTGTTTGCCGCGCGGTGTTTTGCGGTGCGTTTGTGCGTGAGTGCGCGGCTGGGAACGCGCGGCACCTGTTCCGCCGCCACTCATTCACATATAACGACGGGGGAGCGACACGGAACGGCATTCGAGCGATTCCCAGCCGGCTCTCGGATCATTAAATCGTTATCGCCGCTCCGGGCCTGAAAAGAGAGAGACCTTTCTCTTGTTACGGTGAAAATTGAGTTTATCGAACTAAGGTGACACATTTGTCAGCGAATTTCGCCGCCGATAAATATAGCCAAAGGAACGCGCGCGCGAAAAGAACCGTTTTGATCGTTTGTCAGCAGGGAAAAAAACGTACAAAGACCTTTCGAAAGCCAGCGTTGAATTATTGATTAATCGTACTTCAACTGTTGAGGTAACAAAGTGACAATTCATCAATCAATCAAAATGAAATTTATTTTATATGGCAACAGAGAAATAAAATTTGCATTAGAAAAGGAAATGACCTGACATTAACAACTTATTTTAAATTCAAACAATTTAATAATTAAATAGAAAAAATATGTTAATTTAAATAATTTTTTAAAGAAGGGCGAGGAGGAAAATAAAGAGCACGAAAAGCAGCAGCATCCTGGAAGAAGCATTGATTTTAGAATTCGTTTTCCTCTCCTTTCTTTATTTTTCAATTTTATAATATTTTTTATGTGTTTGGGCAATAAATTGCCTCTGATAATTAATCGTGATAAAGAAACCTTGCAATTGAATAAGTCAAAAGATAAATTTATTTTAAATATTTGTTAATTCCTTTGACAAGAGAAGCACGCATTAGAATTAATATGCAACGATCAGTCTTGCAAATGAAATGCAAATTTGGAGCCAAATGCAAATGAACGTTGAGGGAAGTTGGAGAAAAAGGAGCTATTTCGGTGTGACTGGGAAACGCGCAGATAAATTATGCAGCTGGGTTCGAATTCTACTTGTTGCTCTGGCAATGTTTACCGTCACAACAATGAGGCCGCTTTATTCAAATCATTCCAAGTTTGCACGACTCGGATTTGCGCGAGCGTCGCATAGGTAGGCACTCTTGCGCTTTGTGCGAGACAAGAAGATGTTAATTTCGAGCGCGAAAGCGCTTCAGGCGAGAGAGACGAATCTGTTCCCAGGTCGCTGCGGATGCCAAAGGACTGAAAGCAAAGTTTCGATATAAATATCACCAGGTGCTCCCCGCAGCCATGTTACTTGTTTGACAACACGCAAAAGGAATCTTTTGAGTTTGAGAAGTTTCACAAAATTTGAGGAATTAAATTTTCAAATTGATTAATCAATTGATTTAACAAACCATATTTATTTTTAAATAAACTGGGAGTAAAACTAGGAAAAAATAAACCCCTTACAAATTAACTCAAAATATCATTAAAATCATAATATTATACAATTTATTCAGTATTATTGAAGCACAGTAATATAGATTTTATTGTACAATTAACTGAATTATGCGTTTCAATTTTCAATAAAATCTATTCATTTAATTTATTATTAAATAAATAAATAAGTTATCATCAGTAATTCTGCTCTTACAATTGGCAAAATTATTCTATTCTAAGGTAATATAGATACAATTTCAACGAGGAACAATCTAATAGAGAAAATTGGATCAAGAGCTATTCAATGGAGTTGCTATTCGCCTGCACGTTTCATATCCCTCTTTGCACGAACGAGTTCAAGAGTTGGTTTAGCTTCGGAATCTCTCATGTCAAGTTATTGCATTTTCGCAATACCGTGAGCGAAATGTGGCCGCATGTATCACGACATTTGATTGAAAACGACTTTTCCGCTCAGAAAGTTTCAATATAAATGAGCGGCGAAGACGTGAGCGCGCAAGGAAACGCGATAAGCGCGCTTAAAAGTCACCGTAAAATACAAAACCGGCAGCGATCGAGTGCGAAAGGAAAGAACGAGTTTTCAAGTATATGCAACCGGGTGTGCAGACCGACTTGAATAAAACATTTGTGTCGCAATTCGCACGCTTTTTGATGGCCCGATCGATAAGTTCGTAAGTGAAGAAGCATAAAAAAAAAGTAATCGCAGACCAATCTTATAATAAATCACCCGACGCCCGCGTTGAACTTTGTTCTTATCTCTTTTGATGTTTTTTGCCCTTTTCACTGAGAGACGTTTCTTCTTTTCGATGCTTTTATTTTTCTTTTATCGATTCGACTTACTTGCGGTATCTTGAAGAGGCGCAGCAGGTTGGCCACCTGGATCGAGGTGACGCTGGAGGCGGCGCCGACCACGCCTGAGATGACCTTCCGCACTTGCGTCTTGTTGCAGTGAAATTCGGCATCGTCGATGTTGCTGATCGAGCCTGCAACAAAATAGTACAAATTTGAGTATTTTTTTCAGGAAATAAAGAGTAAAATTAAATTGATTGCAAAAAGCTTGAAAAATAATCCAAAATAACCTTTGAGAAAGTTTCAAAATTAGGGGATGAAATTTTCTAGCCACAAGTTTCTCTCTAAAGAATAATTCCATTTTTAAAAATAATTTTGTCATAACCACAAGCAATCTTGATTTGTGTGTGAAAAGACTCAAATTAATGCTTATAAAGTACTCAGATTGATTTACTTTATAAAATTAATTACATGTTTATTTTTTTCTCGAACTACTTATTTAATGTTTTTATTTTATACATTTTGCAAAACAATTGCTTTTTAGTAAATCATGCTATATATTAAGAAGGTCAACCAATAATAGTTTTCGTTGTGATTTTTTCATTGATTTGTATATTTATATAAATTTGCAACTTAAACTGATACTAAAAAATTGAAACCAGGCGAACCTCGTTGCAAAGAAAAAATGAAAAATTCTCGATTTTTTCATTTTTTCATGAAATCCACCTAGAGTGTTAATATTGAATTTAAAACTGATGCTAAAAATGTTAATCATTGCTTTTTACCAATTTTTAATGTTTATTTATTATTTTATTCAATTGTTCTGCTTATAATTTTTTTGAAAATTATTTAGATTGTCCATGAACCGCCTTCATGAATGGCAGTCCATTTAGTCATTTATTATGTACGCAGCAGATTTCACTTTCGTTGACTGCGGCGGCCACTTTAGCGTCCGCGTCCACAATCTAAACCCACAGAGGGGATTTGCGCGTGAATCGATCATCACCGCACTCTCCATTAGAGGAGAACAAAAGAGTCGGCGGGACCAATTGAAATCGCCACTCGCCGCGCGTAATCCCACACCAAACAAAAAGACAATTTCGTGCCGGCCAACATCACTCGCTGCCCAATTCGACTTTGGCCGTTTCGGTTTTGATCCCGGCTTATGAAAGCCGCCGCAGCCGCGATTCAATTTCCATCTGCGGTTCGACACCGAGTGATTATTTTTGCAGTTGCAACAGCTTTGAAATTGCAATCATGCAAAAAGCACGCGTTGAAGCCCAATAATTGCTTTCGTATAGCAAAAAGAGAAAAGAGATGCAGGTTGCACTTTTCCTTCCAACTTGTACTTTCATGCACAAACACGCAGTGCAATCAGAACTAGTACCAAATGGGAAAGGAAATAACGGTTTCAAAGGATCTTTGTGGAAGCGCAGAACAGAACTTCAGTTGTTCTATTTCTGATAATAATTTGCAGCCCCTGTAAATGTAAAAAATTGAAATTGTCAAATATATGCATTTTCCGTCATCAACTAAGTCACCGTTTTAAAACAATTTAACTGAGAAGCAATAAATATTTCAGACATTATGATCAAATTAAATTTTTTTTTCTTTAATTTTTAATGAAACATTTCAAAGCAATAAAAACGTCGTTTTGTTAATTCAAAAAAATTGTAGTTAAATTCGTAAAAGAGTAAATATAGTGATTTAAAATCAACTAATAATAAGTATAATAATATACAAAATCGACATTTATAAGTAATTTAATTAGAATTGGTAAAGTCATCAACTAGAAACAGATGAGAACAAATTGTAACTAAAAAAAAATCAGGTATTTAGATAGACACTAATGTTATTAAAAACACTATTAAGTTGTAAGTTCCCTTTAATGACTTTTAATTCTATTATTACTGTAATTTTATTTATTTTTCTTGCTATTGAATTTTTCTTTCCAATGAAATCGTAGCTGAGGTTTTATTATTATTTTTTAATAAAAGCGTTTTGTTTTTTAACAAAGTAATTAAAAATATCCCTAATCGATTTTAATGAATAGCATTTCTATCTGAAAAAATCCCACACCCTTATAAAAATATTTTTTATTGGAAAAGCCCGAATCTTCATTTCCATGATCATCTCCTCGAGTGTCAACTTCTTCAAACAAATATTTTTTTTATTTTCTGTGCCACAGATTTATCTATATTTTTGTATGATGCTGTAGGAGAATATAATCAAACGAATAATCCCATCCCTCATTAATCTTTGTTTATGAAACGCGCCTTTGTAGCGATGCAGGCGTCGTCCTCACTCTTTCTATACAAATAAAAAGAAGAAATATCAAGTTTCCCGTCAACACGTCCCCGCAGATGGATGCTAATCCAATTTCACTCGCTGACGGTGGTTTTTTTTCCTTCCGTTCGATCTGCTCCCTGCTGCGAGAGAGGAAATTTCAGCGAGCCATTTTTTTTCCCAGGCGAAAACAATAACACGCGTTATAGGCGAACGTGCGAACGCAAATCCCGGCTTTCAATTAACGCGCGAAAACAAGGCCTGTGTGATGTGGTTTTGCGACACGCACGCGTCCGATCGACCCATCTCCCGACAGGGTGCATACAGATTTGGCATTTGTGTCACGTCGCTGACGAAAAGTCGGAGAGACGTTCGCGATTGCATCTCCAACTTTGGCGGCTTAATCATATTTGAAGCCTTTTGATTGCGCAGAAAGAAAGCGAGAATGCCGGAGAATGAGGAAAGAGTTTCTTCCAGGGAATCTGAGCATGAGCTGCTCATGAGCAAGGTTTGAGCAAATTTTGCTTATGAGCAGCGTTGAGCAAAGGTATATTGAGCATGAGCATTGAGCACATGCTGGTGAGCACCGAAAAAGTGAGCATGCTCATGAGCAACACTAGTTGAGCAGATGAAAATGCTCATGCCCAGAAACCCTGGTTTCTTCGAACCAACAACTTTTTTCACAGAACGGACGGAAAAAAGCTTGGATATTGATCTAAACTATACCCATACTATAATATTAATTAATTTTATTTTTAATTCAATAAACATTTGTTATTCCAGATTGAATTAATTAATAATTCTTTTAATTTTTAAGCATAAATATAATTTTTTAGCTTTTTCTTGCTGTGTTTATTTGTAGTGAAGTCTAGCTATTATTCAAAGAAAATATTATATAATTTTAATAATTTAAACTATATTAATCAAAGTTAAATTATTTTTTAATTGAAACGGATCTATTTAACGAGTCCTTAAAAGCAGCAGCTGACGTTTGCTTTTTCATCAACGCCACGGACCATTTATCACTGACTGCGAATTAAAGCAAAAGATTTAACGAAGCCAAAAGCCAATCCAAAGGATGCATGGACTGTCGACCAACAATGCGACGAGATGATCTGCAGCGATGATTTATTACGAGCTCATAAATTTTGATGAACTCCCGTCCATAGTCCTTAATCCTCATTACGCATTTCGGGGAGGATTTGCGAGTCGAAAAACACACGCACGCATGAGCTATTCTGCTGACCTTTCATTTTTCCTCCCAAGCTTTTATAAAAATGTATACCCGCATCAATTTTTTCCAGGGAGAAATTTTCAAGCTTTAAAAATCATTATATGGGTTTATTTTAATTGTAAAAAACAAAATAATAATAATAATAAACCTTATATCTGGTATTTGATTAAACTACGAATTTTGTTTTTAGGTGAGTGAGTTTTAACACTTTGTGAAAAAAGTGGCTCTTTTGAGAAGGAGGAAGGCGCCGAGGGCGACGAACTTTGCGGATGATTTGTATGCATTGCTCGTTTTTGTTTAGTATTTTTTTCTTCGCGCAGGAGCCACGCATGTCGCAGCAGGAAAATGAAATAAATTGGTGTCACGTGAAAATATACGACGCCTGGAGAATCGCGTCGTTTTTTTTTTCGCAGGAGGTGAAAATGTATCTGGAGGTGCAGACACATTTTCCCAAGGAGCGAAAACTCTGTGTCGCGATTTCGTGCAAAGCGGCTTTCGAGTGATTTTGCCCTTGTAGCACAATAAATCCTGCGCTTTGCATTCAAAGAGCGAGCAAGCGAGAGTCTCTCCAAGGAGCCTAGACGAGATTACCCCCCTGTGTCTCTCTCCCGGTGTAATTTAAAAGGGATTTCACAAGCATAAAGGGTATTAATTCGGTGCGCCGAGGCTCGATTGATTGTGTCTCATGTAAACTATGTGAAATGTGAGATCATGGGAAAAACGTCGGATTCAATTTGATGTGGAAGCGGAGATTGCAGCACAGAGCGTGTTCCTTCCATGCAACTTCAGAGTTTATCTCGCAAGAGGAGCAAGAAAAGCTACCGTATCAGAAGTGACACACTTTGCTGGATAATGCACACGTTTGACGTTGAATTTCAAGCAGCGACGAACTTGGAAACTTTCACCTGACTTGGCTGAGAGAAAAGTTTGCATGGAATAAATATTTTAATCTGTATGTTATGGTTTTATGATACTTTGGCAAATAATAAAATTGTAATTACAATTTGTTAATATTACAAGATATTTTGAATTATTAAAAACCGATCAAAATAGCATAAATTGTAATCTAAAGAATTCTCTATTGAGAGTCTGATTTGAATAAATTTTGATTTAATTTTTTAAATTTAATTTAAAAAAAATAATTATTTAAGAATTAGCTTGGGTATTTGACCGAGTGGAAGAATTGATTTGATTGCGTTGCTCTATTGTGGCCCAGCAATTTCTTTGACAATTCGATCGGCTGTGAAAGTGGCTCGGCCATTAATCAAGTGACCCCTGCGCAATTAGTTCATGAACTGACCCGCAATCAATCACGAAAGCAATTATTCCGGCAAGCGTTGATAAACATCAACGCAGCATTCGATTGGGCTCCGGCGCAGAGATAAAAACGTTAATTAGCCCGTTCGTCGTCGTCGTTAAATTGCAGCAAAGATCAGCCAAGCTGAATGGAGCGAGATAAGCTTTGTTGGTGCACATCATGTTTTAGTTTAATGAAAGTCCCGCCACGCTTTTCCACAATTCTACGGCGCAAAAGGAAACAAGACCAACTTGGGCTGAGGAGAGCAGGCGGAATTTTCAGACTAGAGAATAGATTAGCCACGGGCAGGTAATCAGTCTTTCTCCGCCTGTGATTTTGCGTCTGCGGCAGATCCGGGAAACGAAAATTAATTAGTC